TTTAATTTTTCTAATTTGCTCACTGAACTTTCAAATTACTCATGTTTTGAATATTTTCGTATGAGGTGATATTTTTATTTTTATTATTTAATATAAAAATAATTTAAAATATACAATGAAAATAGAAGGTTATCAGACGCCATCGTTGACCGCCTTCGACTGTCGTAGATAGTGGTCGTTCGGTCCCAAATTTCATGGATCGTTTCACCTCGACACCCTAAGTCTGAATTCAACCTCTATTTTGTCGGAACTTGCTCTGAAGTCCACAAATTAGAGATCAAAAGTGAGGAAGCCGAAATGTTTTAGTTGAGATTAATGGGTTTTGGGACATTTTCCGGTGAAACAACCACCAAATTCGAACTCAGAGGGTCGAGGCAAACCAAGACATGAAGTTTAAGACCGAACGACCACCATCTATGACGGTCGATAACGGTTGGTAGTAGCATCCGACCACCTTATGTATTTATTTTATATTTTAAATTATTTTTATGTTGAATAATAATAAGAAATGTAACATCATACAAAAATAATAATAAAATAATTCAGAGTGACTAATACATGAGCAATTTGAAAGTTCGATGAGTAAATTAAAAAAACTGAAAGTATAGTGAGTAAAATAGGAGATAGAGTAAAGTTCAGTGAGGAATGTGTATTTTACTCAAATTTTAAAACTCAAATTAATTAAAAGCTATTAATTAATTAGACTTAAAACCAATCCGGGTAAAATTTGATTGAGTCGAGTCTAGTTAAGTAAAATTCTTTTGAGTCAATTAAGTTGACAAGTCTTATTTTATAACTCAAATTTTATGTAGAAATTTTTCGAATCAAGTTAAATTTATAAAATTATGATTCATTTCAAGTTAAAAAATTTAATTTTTCAAATCTAGTCGAATTTTATTTATCTTTAACCTTATCAACCTAATTGGCTGCTCTACAACATTATTTGGTGGGTAAAGTTCAAATTTAGTAATTAAATTGTACTCTCTCTTATTGCACTAAATGTACTTTAAATCTTTTCAATTTCCTCATTAAGCTTAATAGATTGGATTTTTGGTTAGTCGTTTCTTTACTAGAGGCGTTATGATGTGACATTTTAATTTTAATTTTTAATGGGCAAGTTTCAAATTCAGTCACTGAACTTTACTCTCTCTCCTAGTTCACTCACTATACTTTAAATTATTTTCTATTTAATCAATGAACTTTATGCATTGGATTTTTTTGTCAATCCTTTGTTAACAACAAAAAAACCCACGTCATAATGCCGTTACTGAGGAAACGGCTAAGTGACCAAAAAACCCAATGTATTAAGTTTAGTGAGAAAATTGAAAATATTTAAAACACAATGTGTATTATAAAAAAGAGAGTAAAATTCAGTTGTCAAATTTGTAATTTACCCTCATTTGGGGGAGTTATGCCATTTTCTGCTCATTGGACAAAAAAAATTATCCTGAAGATAGAACTAAATTTAGCCCATTCAAGATCAGTGGATTTTGGACCGAAGACTAAGCTTACTGTCAACATGGGCTTATCTTCATGACAACATTATTAGCTTTTAATTATTATTTTGAGTTATTTGTATCATATGTCCCCAAATAAAAACCATTATTTCATATTAATCTTTAAACTTTTTAATATTCTAATTCTTCCCTAACATTTTTCTAAATTGGTCCACAAACTTTTAAATATTCCAATTTCATCCCCAAATACATCCAAATATGTAATTAGTTTCAACCATAGTACAATAAAAAAAGGCCTAAATATACAAAAGGTGCCCAACATATGTATTTGTTTCCAGTTTATTGCCTAACGTTTATTTTGTTCCAGTTTGATGTCTAACGTTTCATTCTGTAACTCAAATTGGGTCAAGCCATGACGGACCGTTAAGTTTGGTCGTTAAGTGACACGTGTCAAAACCTGATAATTTAAAAAATTATTTAAAATTTTAAAAAATAAAATTATATATATTTTGTAAAAAGAAAACACAAATTCTGAAATAAATCCAGAATTTTGAAAACCTTCATTTCAACCCTTAAATCTATGTCGATTGTCGGCTTTTGCCATCAACGAAGCTCCACCCGACCTCCCCTCCCCTTGGCGACAAAAACCCCCATGAAATCGTGACCGATCGACGGTCGATCATCCATCAGAATTGTGTGGGATCAAGATTTTCATCCTAAGGTTCGCAGGGTGTAAAACGTTGATTCATCGTCAATCGATGACGATTTCATGAGGGTTTTGGTCGTCGAGGGGAGGGGAGATCAGGTGGAACTTCGTCGATGGTAAAAGGCGATGGTCGGTGTGGGTTTAGGGGTTGAAATGAAGGTTTTCAAAGTTTTGGATTTATTTCAAAATTTGTGTTTTCTTTTATATATATATATATATATATATATATATTATATATATTATATATATATATATATATAATTTTTTTAATTTAAAATTTTAAAATTACTAGGTTGTGACACGTGTCACTTAACGTGGAAGTTAACGCCGTTGACGGCCCGAACACCTAAATGTATAACGGAATGAAACATTAGGCACCAAACTGGAATGAAATAAACTTTAGACACTAAACTAGAACCAAAGACATACGTTGGGCACGTTTAGTATATTTAAGCCTAAAAAAATTTCAAACATATAAATATAACTTGACCTAATGATTTTGTTAACAAGGGATATGATTAGCATATACTTATAGTTTGGAATGAAATTAAAATGTTCTAAACATTTGGGGGACTAATTTAGAATAAAGTCATAATTTGAGAATAAAAATAAATTATTCTGAAAAGATATTATATTAGGATTACCTCATACTATTTTAATTTAATTTCACGTGCAAAATTTCTAATCTAAAAACATTTTAGATCTTTATCAATTTAACTTAAATAAAATTAAAATTATGATCTTTATCAATTTAACTTAAATAAAATTAAAATTATGTAACAATTTTTTATTTTTGGTTGCCCTCCAGTTCCAAGGCTTCACCTTAACTAATTGTTTCGACCAAAATCGCACACTTGGTTTTGGTGGGTGAGTCTTCCAGCAGGGATTTTATGCATACACAAGTATTCGAACATGAAACATTACTTAAGCAATATCAAGTTGCTTACCACTTAAATCAACTCTGTTAATATAAATTTTTATTATTTTAACTTCAAAAATCTTATCCTCTTAATATTTGATTATTGTGACTATGTTAGTCGTATCTCTATATTTCAGTGATGAATCCAGAAATATAAGAATGAAGACCAAAATTTTAATATCCTCTTCTTAAAAGTAATGAGTATGCAATTTTTTTTTTACTTTCTATCATTTTTCTTAACATATTAAACTAAATTTCATATTTTTCTTAAATAATAAACACACTTGACCCCTAACAGCTTAATGCATACGCCCATGTTATATCTATTATGGATCAAAGCGGCAAGCATTTGTTGCCGTATCCCTGACCGTGACGAAACGCGCTGCCTGAAAAGTAGCGTGAGGAACAGCACTGGAATTTGTATATTCCCATGCAAAAATAAAGGCACGGATGCACCAAGTCCCGTACGGAATCAAGTACATCCTCCTTATTTTAAAAAATGATAAAATTTAATTTAATATATTAAAAAAATAAAAAATAAAAATTTTATATATCCATTATTTATAAAAAAAAAGAATATTAAAATTTTAGACCTATTTTTAAATTTTTAGATCTCAAACCGAGCAAGAGAAAGGTTAATTCGGTCGGTTGTACACTACCTAATCACTCCCTATGATGTGAAGCAACATTATTTTACTCAAATTAAATATTCCTTAATCCTTAACTAATTACACTTATCTTAAATCACACCCTAATAAATACATTATTTTTCTCAACCCATTGCACACTTTTTAATAAATAGCATATTTTATGTCATCAGACATTAACTAACGTTTTGCATTAATCTAATGTTCACTTTATCAAATAATGATTTTAAAAAATATTTAAAATAAATTCACAAAAGAAAAAAAAATCTTAGATTTCTCTCTTTGGTGTGCCGTTCATCTATTTTCTTTTTCGGTTTTATTGATCGATAGTAGCACTAACTTTAATGTTGGTACGTTGGTTGTTGACTTCCAATATTCTTTATGGTATTTTTCTTTTCTATATTTTATCTTTATTTTTTTCAATAAGTCTGCCTATATATGTCTTTATGACACGTTTTCTTACGTTTTTAGCATTTTTCGGTTCTTTGATCGTTTATCTTTTTCTTCTTCTAAGGGTTGATTTGACATTACCACGACTAATCAAGATGACGCTTATTATGATATCTTGTTGATCTTCTCTGCTTTGGACCCTCGAATTGGATTTGGATACTCGATTTGCGTTCATAGATAACTTTTCACATCGCTCGAGTCTGATTTACGATTTGTCGGTAGTTTTTCAATAGTTTGATCTCCTTTTGTGGTTCATTTGACGATGTAATCAGATCTGTTTGTATTTATCTTTGTTCGAGTTTCTTGATTAGATTTAATATTTCCTTGTATGGTGTCCTTATGTGATATGAAGTTGCTAGTTTTGTTTTAATGATTATAGGAAATTTTTCTAATTATGTGCTTAATTTACTATTGTGATTGTAAATCTTTATTGTAATTTGACATATTTTCTATTTTGAATAAAATTAGTTTCTTCTTTAAAAAAATTATTTAAAATAATAATAATAATAATAATAATAATAATAATAATAATAATAATAATAATAATGAATTCCATGTGCTTAACGTTCCAACATGGACAATCAAACTACAACTATTTTCTTATAGAAGAAACACACAAACATGATCATTTTCCCCCTCCCAAGTACTGTGGATTCACAGCACTACACTCTGTGAAGCATAAGGAAAGAAAAGAAGCGTATAGGTTAAGAAACATCATCTTCTCCAAACCCCAAAAAGCAACAAAACAAAAAGAGACAAGGAACAAGGACTTGATTAGTATATAAATTAAATATGCTATATATAAAGGACCTTCCTTTTAGTTTCTCTTTCATTTCTATCCACATCTCTCTCTTTCTCTCCAACACTAATAATCTCTTGGTTGTTCTTTTGTGATGTGATTCTCTCCACAATCACTTATAATCTCACAAAAACGAAACAAGCCTTTACAAAAGGAAAAGAAACTTCAAGAAACCATGGTTTTTAGCTCCATCCCAGCTTATCTTGATCCAGCCAACTGGCAACAAGTGAGTTTTTTTTGGTTCGAATTTGTTCTAATGGTTTCTTTCTTCCAATAAAAAGCAAAACAAAATTCAAAAGTTAAATACTTTTGTTAATCTTGTTGAATATTCCATGTCATTTTTGTTGTTTCCACAGCATCCAAATCATCAAGGTGGTGATGATAGTGGCGTCAACGCTCATCAGCTTCCTCCTCCTCCTCCTCCACCATCGGCTCCACAGCCTCATGGAGGAGGAGGAGCAGGATCGATCCGGCCCGGTTCAATGGCTGATCGAACTCGATTAGCCAACATACCGATGCCGGAAGCGGCATTAAAATGCCCAAGATGTGAATCGACAAACACCAAGTTTTGTTACTTCAACAACTACTGCCTCACGCAGCCTCGACACTTTTGCAAGACTTGTAGAAGGTACTGGACCAGAGGTGGCGCCTTAAGAAACGTTCCGGTTGGAGGCGGATATCGAAGGAACAAAAGGAGCAAAGGAAGCAGTTCAAAATCGTCAGCCAGCGGCGGCGACCTGAAAGCAGCTTCGGGTTCTTCCAGTACGATTTCTTCCAACAGTACCGGAAACACTGATATTTTCGGCCTTGGATCTCATGTTCGTTCACCGAGGTTCATGGCTCCTTTCAATCCCCTTGCTGAATTTGGCGGCGGTGATCATATTGGGTTGAATTATGGGACTATGTCGGCTCCACTCCGCGGAATGAGTGACTTAAGCAGCTTTCAAATGGGAAACACTTTAGCCATTGGCGGCGGCAGGGACGGTGCTACTCCCGGTAGTTCTCTCTTGACAATGGCCGGTTTGGATCAATGGCGGCCACCGCAATTTCCTTTCCAAAGTGGCTTAGAATCTTCTTCTGGGATGTACCAATATGAAAGTGGAGCCATTGTTGAGCATTCGAACTCAATAGCCACCCAAATGGCTTCAGTGAAAATGGAAGACAATGGTAATAATAATCAGCAGGAACTCATCAATTTGTCAAGGCAGTTTCTGGGGATTCAAGGATATGATAATTACTGGGGTGGAACTGCATAACTTCAGGCTCTTCATCTACGGCCATTATCAATTCAAGTTTACTCACTTTCAAACCCTAGAATTTGTATTTCTTTCTTTCTTTCACTATAATTTGGTAGGTTTCAATGTATGAGTGTATCAGTTCATGGAGCTTGTATCAGGCATATACGTACTGATGGTAAAGTTCCATAATTCCACCATTAATTCAAAGCTCTTTCAGTTTATTTTGATATCATTTTACAATCTACACTTTATTTTTTTTTCAACTTATTTTATCAGAGAACATTCTTATATGATTGTTTCTATATATAACCATATCCGTCTACTTCGTATCAATATTTTCCCAAAAGTAGAATATCTTTATATATAGTGCATTATTATTTTTTTTGGGGGTGAAAAAAAAAGTCCTTCCCTTAATATGTTTTCATCAGTCTTTTTTTTTTCTGGGTTTTGTACACCAAATATCTGGAAGAGGAAGAACTGACTGATAATCAGGTGAAAACCATTCATTCTAAATGAAAAAGCGAATGATTTTGTAATAATTTGAGGACGTACTTGTTTGTTGGGCCATGATAAAGAGTGTGTGTGAAATGAAATCATAGCTACGAACATAAAAAACATTTTAAGTTTTAACAAATTAATTATATGTAAATGATGTGCTTAAATTAGTGAAAGGACAGTCTCAAAAGACTCCAAAATCTCACTCAAAATATGTAACCAAAAAATCAACCTAGTTTTCTTATATATATATATATATATATATTAAAAAGAAGACACAAAAGAATATATTAATCAACCTAGATTTGATTAATTTTCTCTAAATTTGAGTCTAACTATAAAATGTAATCTAAATAGCTCAAAATTTTTATTAATCAATGAATTTATTTTAAAGTTCGAGTCAAGTCAAATCTCTCAATTTTGTATATGTATATAGTTATAGAAAAACGTTAAATTGAAATCGATTAATACCATGATATTAGAAACATTTATAATTAAAATTAAATAAAAACTCAAATAACTTGACCCAATTTAATTTGACTTAAATTTAAAAAACTCAACTTAAATATTTTCTAAATAAAATTTAATCTATAAAATAAAACTTATCAACCCGATTAATTTGAATTTTCTTTTTAACTAAATTAAACTCAATAATATTCATAATAAGAGTGAGTTTCGGACAAGAGAGAATGTGTGAGCCAATTCCCAAGATTGAGGTGGGTGAGGACAAGTGTGATGGAATCAGGTCTCAGTATGAGACAAAGTAAGTGTTTTTGTCAGCATGTAGACCTGACGGCTGTGTCTTGGCCCCCGTGATTGGATCTTACATAGCACGCGCTTCATGGCTCCAGTTCTTCTTTTTTCTTTCAAGCAGTAGTAGCATTAGAAGAAAATCTAATACTACTTACTATTCATGCTTTGTCATGTTATCCCAGTCTTTCCATTCGTTAATATCACTGACACAACGAGCACACTGTTCCAGTTCCACTGCTTTGGCATGCATAAACCACATAGCTTGACCTTGACTTCCTCATTTTCACCATTTACTCTTAGCTTCAAACTCAAGAATCGAATTTCATTAAAATATTGATCGCCTCTTCGTTTTTCTGATCTCTAATTTGTTGAAAGTGTTATGTCTGGACAGAAAGCTATAGAATAGTGTTTCACATTGTATTATTTTATTATCATTGTTAAAAGATTATGACAAGTAAAATGATTGCACAAGAGAAAATCACATATAAAACAGAGAAAGTTTACTAATTTTGAAAATAAGTAGTTGAGGTTGCAGCAAAGATCTTGACAATAAGTTCTTAATTAGTTTTTTTTATGATTTATAATCTGTCAATAAAGTATGTGATCTGACTGAATATTAATCAGAGCAAGATTAATATAATGACAAGTATAATAATTATACTATAAAATAGCCATTAATATTTCATGTGAAAGCTGTTAATGTAAATATAATTACTTGATTATAAAAGAAACTTGTTTAATAAAAATCTATTCAAACTAGGTTTCGTACTTTTAATCAACAACCAGTTGCAGATGCAAGGGTGACTATTCCAGAATTCAAATTTCTTTATATTAATTGTCCACTTTATTATTGGTGCCTACCATAAAATTTTATTTATCCATCCTTATGAAAAATTTCTATTATTAATATATATGCATCCATACTAAAAAATATTTTTAGATCAGTCACTGGTAGTAGCTGGTAGTAGACGTATAATGCAAATAGAATTCGGGTCACAAAAGTTATAATAAAACTCTAACAATTAAATATTATAAATACAAAATAATTATTTTAATTTAATATAAAAAATAAAAAATGGTTTTTTTAAATTAGTGTAAAGTTGCATTGAAATTAATGTACATAAAATTTGCAATACTTATATGTATAACTAGGGTCTTAATGCAATTAAATTTTGATTTAAAAAAGGAAACGGTTTCATGTTTAGAAAATAATGAATTAATCTTTCAAATGTAAATGATAAATAGTTGTATAAAATCGTAGCCATTCTATTGCCCTCTCTAAAATGTTCAAATTTCCGGTAAACGTGGGTTGATGTTAGCAGAAAGCAGAACAAAAATATTCAGCAACATGGGTCTAAATGTACAATTAAGTAAACAACATAAAGGGTGCATTCACCAAAATAAAATTGGAAAATTAAACCAACCTCATGATTAGAAATCATGGCTGTTGGTCCATTGCACATAAACAACAAACATCAATGAAATACAAGTAATGAGATGACAATTATATAAATATTACTTCAGTCTATATAAGGATACACGTAGAATTAGTCTTATAAATTTTTAGAGACGGGTTTATAAAATCTTAGGAGTTAATCACTTTGATCCATACTTATCTATATCGAACTAGGCTACCAATATAATAATATTAGAACTTAGGGAATCTGGAATTGGGTGATACTGAAGGAAAGGAGTAGGAGAGAATGTTTTTTTTGGGGGGGGGGGGGCGGGTTTGCTTTTGCAAGAACCGAGGGTGCTTACCAAGAAGGAATAAAGCACATTCAAGACCGTCAAAGGTAAAGCCTTTTCTCTCTCTCTCTATCTTCTCTCAGTCAAGACAGATAACAAGTTATAGTTTTGGTTGGTCGGTCGGTCAGACATCATCCTTGTTATCCTTTGAAAAATGTGTTACATATAAGTTGTTTCAGAATGATCCCTAAATTGTGGAAATTAGCGTTAGGGGTACTGTTGGAAGAATGAGAAGGGAAAAGACCGTACAGAGAAAAGCAGTTGGAGAAAATTGGCTCGGAAATCCAAGGGAGAAAATCAAATCTAAAACTGTGTAGTGAATGAAATTCCATTCTCTTCCCATGTATGATGGAGGCACATGGAGTTGTGTGCAGCTTTAACTTTTGCAACGTACGCCAAGAACATGTAGTGCCTAAACCAGCCGATCTGATTTGATCAGTAATCTGTTGTTGAAAGACTACTATTCTACAAGGAGAGACTGAGATTCCAACTTGTTATTCTTCGTCATGATCCATTACGTTATCAATCATACCCATGCATGCATGCCCATGAAGTTTTAGATTCCCAAAGCTCCCCCACTCATTCCCTCCCACCTAGAAATGAGACGAGACAGATAGTAAGTTATTCAAATTAAACTCAATTAATGTTCGATCCAAATCGAATTTGATAATTTTAAACTCGTTAATTTTTGAATCGATTCAAGTCTATTTTTAAACTTTTTGAGTCGAGTTAAACTCATTAATATTCGAACTTGACTCGTATCGAACCCAACTCACACTTCTCTATGTTTAAGGGTTTGCTAGTTCTCTCTCTCAACCCCACCTAAAAGCCCCATATTTTGAAATTATGGTTTAAATCATATTCAAATAAAATTTAAAAATAACCCAAATTCATAAAAGTTATTAAGTGAAAATAGTACGTAATGTCATCTCTTGCTTGCATAAGCCACAAGTATTTCCTTTTCCTTAACAAGGTAAAAGAACAAATCTTTTGTATTCAAATTTCAAAACAATGTTGTTAAGGGAAAACCTAGGGGGTTTCCCACTGCCAAGAATCTTTGGGTATCTTCATTTTGATCTCTATCCCTCCATTGTTGTGGCTGGTTTTGGAGTTTTCTTGGGCCCCCACTGATAGATGTCGTCTTTTAGGCGAGTAGCATCCTAAGATGTCACCTTTTTAGCTGTCCAATGAATAAATATGACCAATTAATATCCCCTTTCGGGTTGGCACTATCCTATTAAAACACCATTATAGAATCCATTAAACCATTTTATTAGTTAAAAGAATGTTATTTTTTTTTGAGATTTTAAACTCGAACAATAGTTATGTTTGTAGAGTATACATTATTGTCTAAAAAGGGATTTTAAATAATATTACCATAAAATAACTCAGAGTATAAAAAAACCTACCATGTATCGATAAAAGAAAATTCAAATATGATGTAATAATTTAAAATAGATAAAAATAAACAATGTATATCAATTTTAAAATAATAATAATTTTATTTTTAATATTTTTTAAATGCTAATGTTTAAACACAACCGAGTAGCTCCGCATATATCAGTGTGCATCATTAGTTTATGTTTAGTCTTTTGTTGCATATGCCAAATCTAGGCGGGCATTCCGTGCATAGATATAGTTTTTTTTTCTATATGATTAATTTTCAATGTTGGTCCAAAAACATTACAATTTTTTTAATATAAAATTTTAGGGCTTAGTTATTAAGGCATCGCGTAATGACATCAGCTTTTTTATTGGATGCTAATTTATGACTCACAGATACAAGTGCATGAATATTAACATTATCTTCTTGTGTTATTAAATTGATCATACAAAGAGAATTAGTGAATGTGGAATGTCTTGCCAACTTTGCTCCACTGTTCATATGATTGCACTACGCGTACCTTTAATCAAGCTTAATTTGATATAGAAGTTTGCATAAATTGTTTTTGATATAGAAGCATGTGATTTTTGCATGGAAGAGAATTTTTAATTTTTAACTAAGTATATCCTTAATTATTTTATTTTAAAAAAGTGATTTTTAAATATTTATATGTGTACAAATCAATATATAAATTAATACAATGCATAAATTATCT